CCATGAGTATGGGATTGGGGGCCTGTTAATACGGGCTGTTCAGTCCCTATACAAGTGATGCAACAGTTTGGTTCACATTGCCGGTAGTAAGTCGGACCTCTTCAGGGTGGGAGTTGGACTCCACCAGGGCTGCCCGTTGTCACCGGTTCTGTTAATAACTTTTATGAATTCTGGTTTGGTAGCCTCAGAACTCCATTTCTGCTCTTTGCAGACAATGTGGTCCTGTTGGCGTCATCGTGCCGTGATCTTCAGCTCTCACTGAGCAGTTTGCAGCTGAGTGTGAAGCAGCTGGGATGAGAATCAGCACCTCCAAATCTGAGGCCATGGTCCTCAACTGGTAAAGGGTGGATTGCTCTCTTCAGGTCAAGGTTGAGGTTCTGCCTCAAGTGGAGGAGATCAAATATCTCAGGGTTTTGTCTTGAGGAGCAGACTGCTTTGAGTTTAACTCCATCGCAGAACTCTCATCTTGAGCAAGCATGAAGGCAACAGTGGAAAGGAAAATCTCCCTCATGAGGAAGAAACCTTTAGCAGAGCCAGGCTCATGACAAGCGGCCATCTACTTCGACCGACCCTCTCTGTACTTCTCCGTCTGCATTCTCAAAGCAAAGATGGCATCTGTGGTGCTCTTTCTTGTCATGAAACCCTACTGCTGCTCACAAATAGTCACCTCTTGTCTAAGTCTAGTAAGCTTTATGGTTGTTAAATGAATGTAAACAAAACAAAAACAACAAAGTCCATGCTCAATAATCCAGGTATACAATTCAACATTTTTTCAGTCAGGTCATCTGGACAGTTTCTTTTTTTGTGCTGAAATGTTTCGCCTTCGATCAGGAAGGCTTCATAATTCAAGGAAACGCACAGTTTTTTTTTTGTGCCGAAACTGTCCAGATGACCTGACTGAAAATTTTTGTATTGTATACCTGGATTATTGAGCATGGACTTTGTTGTTTTCAACCAGCTTGACATGACTGTCAACAAGGAAGAGGGCCGACAATTGAGGAGGGGGCGTACCAAAGAGACACTCTTAGCACCAACAAAACTGGTTTGTTCCACTTTGGAGTAAACTGTTGGGGGAAGAATCAGTTTTGTGTTGTGTGTTTCCTTGACTGATGAAGCTTTCTGGATCGAAAGCGAAACATTTCAGCACAAATAAAAAAAAAGAAACTGTCCAGATGACCTGACTGAAAAATGCTGTAAAAACAGAGTGGCGTCAAATTTTAGCGGTTTTAGGAGTTCTATTTTGTCATTTTTCAACAATGTACTCAGCATGAGCAGAAGATGAGGCAGAAGACCATGGAGAACGTTTGGAGAATGTTGTTTTTCACACAAGGCACCTGACGGCTCCGTATGAGGTAAGAGACATGTTTGTTTGCCCTGCGTTGTTTGCCCTGCGTTGTAGTCCTCTTCCTGCTTGTGGAGCGGTGCCCGGTCTGCTTGCATTCACACTGTACTCGAACTCCGCTCGAGTTTTTTTCTACTGGACCGAGACCTAGGTTTTAGACCGAGCCAGAGTTTGCCTTTTTGTTCCGTGACAGAGTTTGATGGCATGTTCACTCCTCCCCAAACGAACTGGACTTCCTAGGCAAACGGGCTAGATTTCGGGACAACAGGGCTGGTGTGAATGGAGGAGTCCGCAGCCCGCCGCCACGATAAGCCTGAGGAGGAGCCTGGGGGTTTAGGTAAATGTAGATGTTTAATAATCCCTGAAAGTACACCAGAATGCAGAAAATGGCATCTACTTTATCTAAAGCCCACCCCCACCCACTATCTTATTTGCATTCCAGCATTGTTTGGGTTACAAACTAAGCACTACTTTTAACCATTTCTATTTTCATAAAAGTGCTCCATGTTGTTGGTTATAAACTTTAAAAAAAAAAAAATTACTCAGGAACGTTGAGTAGTGATTAAATTTTCATGTCAGCCCTGCTGGTTGACTGATGTGACAATATGTTCAACAGGAAGTGTGCAACCTTCTTTTTGAACATGTCAGACCTAACCACTTCCTGAAGACTGCAGATATTTTTTTACATACATACACAGAATGTTAAAGCGTGTGGACAAAGTGATATTTTTCTGAAACATGTTACGTGTGTGATGCTTAGCCACAGCCAGAAGAACAAATGAGGTAATGGAGTTTGATTTCACTAGAAAGAAGATGTGAGCTGTGTAATGGACTGCAGCCAGAGTGGTTATTCCTGTGGGACTGGATCAGAAAACCACAGAGAGGATGTAAATGCTTCCCCCATCAGCTGACTGTCTGTTCTACATGTTCTGTCATGTTCTTTGTTCTGGCAGAGCGTCATTCTGTCTTTTTGCTCATTTTTTTCTTTCGATTTTGCCTTGCATTAATTACTCTGGGTGTTCTCCCCATGACATCATGCTCAAAAAACTCAGACAATCACAAGAAATCAGATCCTTGGCAGCAACACAGTGGGGACAGAGAACCACCGAGAGTTGGAGTTGTTTTTACTCTTTCATAGAAAGCAGGAAGTTCTATGAGAAAAAAAAAAAGCATGAAAGGAGAGACTGAAGGAGGATCTTGAAGGAAAACTGACAGTCGAAGGGAGGGGCATAGACAGCTTTAACAGTTGAGTTCTTCTGGTTGAGACAAACAGGGAAAACAGCAGGGTGGAAGATTGTGGAACGTTTCGGAGACCGACACCATGGATAACTTCCAGACTGTTCTACGGTTCTTTATGAATCAGAAAACCACTATTGGCTACAGCTTTATGGCACTCATGACCATCGGTGGGGAGCGAGTCTTCTCTATGGTCTCCTTTCAGTGCCCATGCAACCATGACCAGAACTTTGCCTATGGGCTGACATTTCTGCTGGGCCCGGCTGCAGTGCTTTTCATTCTCAGCCTGTTTTTCAGCACCAGGATGTGGAGGCTCTACACCGGTTGTTGCCTGAACCCCATAAAGCTCTGTCCCCGAGGGAACTGCTGCGGCTGTTTTAGGGTCCTAATGAGCATCATCACAGGGGCCTGCGTGGCTCCTGTCATGTGGCTGTCTGTGGCCCTGCTCAACGCAACGTTTTATGAGTGTGCCATCAGCGGTCTGGACAATAGCCTGGTGGTGGATCTGTTCTGTAAAAACAAGACACTGAATTGTCAGGAGGAACTGGCTCGAGTGCCCTGTGATCGCTCCAAACTACCCAGTGATGAGCGCATGGAGCTGCTGCTGATGTTCAGGGCTCAGTCTCAAGTAAGATACACCAAACCTACCAGACTGTACCAAAGACAACAGAGAACTAACCAGAACCTACAATTATTTTGTCTTCTGTGGTTCTGAAGGGGCATAGTTAGATGTACATGCTGCAGTTCTTCTGTATACAACAACTAGGGTCAGTTAATCCAGCTGAGATCGGTGTTGAGAGGAAAGTGTAAACAGGGTTCTTGAGGCATTTTTACAGGGTAAACTAGAAAATAACACCACAAAGCTTTTCTTGAACCAGTTTAAGGTGTGGCCTTTAATACTACCGCTGCAGCGTGAAAACAACCAATCTCGCAGAACTTCCTTCAACATTTCACAGTAAGAGTCTCAACCTGACATGACTGTGTTGACCTCAAAATACTCTCTCACCATGTGAAGCTTATAAAAAGTCTGCATTAATTTTCTAATTGTTCTCCAGTAAAACTCATACTACAGCTGCTGAGAGCGCTGAGAACTTATTTACAGATTGTGTTTATCTTCTATGTAAGTTGTTGTTTTTGTGCTAAAATAATGGCTTTATTAATAAAACCTACAGTATTTTCAATCATAAAGTCACAAAACAATTGGCTATTGTCTGTCTTTAAGACTGTGGTTTTTATTTTAATCTCAAAATAACTTTTGTTTCATAATTTTGAGTTTATTCTAGAAATATTAACGTGTCATTACGTAAGCTTTGAAGTACACATTGAAGAGTAGAGAATTTTGTTTGTTATCAGTTGTGCTTCTTGGTGCTATAAGACTTAGTTTTCTCCAAAATTCCTTCAAAACACATAGAAGGCACAACCAAGCTTCTGCAAATTCTAAACGGTAAATGGACTGTACTTATATAGAGCCTTTCTATCTTATTTCAAGAAACTCAAAGCGCTTTACACTACAATCTGTCCTCATTTACCCATTCATACAGCACTCTATTATATCTCTACAAAGCTAATTGAACAAATCATTCTAAAGAGACTAATCAGTGCTTTAGATCACATTCATACACTGATGGGACACACATCAGAGGCTATGAGGGATTCAGTGTCTTGCCCAGGGACACTTCAGCATGTGATTGCTGATGGATTCAAACCCCCAACTCTCGCATTGGAGGATGACTGCTCTAACCACTCAGCCACAGCCGCCCAAATTCTACTATATTATTGTTCAAAATGTTCTCTTTAAAACTGGAAATTATTTTAATTTTTTTATTTTTGTCATCTCCTTGTAACGATTGCAGCTATACCCAGATACAAGGACTGAAGAGAACAGATACCAAGACTCCCAATATATTTACAGTGTTATTTATTTACTTTACTTTCCTTAGATAGAGAACTTTACTTCCTTAGACAGAGAACTTTACTAATTGGCTTTTATGTATGTGAATGTTCCTGTAAAGTGCCCTGAGACAACTTTGTTGTGATTTGGCGCTATATAAATAAACTGAATTGAATTTACCATTTTTCAATCAGGTCATCTGGACAGTTTCTTTTTTTGTGCTGAAATATTTCGCCTTCGATCCGGAAGGAGGAGGGGCGTACCAAAGAGACCATCTAATCACAAGCAGAACTGGTTTGTTCCACTTTGGAGTAAGCTGTTGGAGGAATAATCAGTTTTGTTGTGCGTTTCCTTGACTGATGAAGCCTTCCGGATTGAAGGCGAAATGTTTCAGCACAAAAAATGAAGCTGTCCAGATGACCTGACTGAAAAATGTCGGATTTTATGTCTGGATTATTGAGCATGGACTTTGTTGAATTGAATTGAATTGAATTTACAAGGTAATAATCCATCAGTTGTGCCAGGGATGGAGCTGGAACCCTGAAGAGCAAGGAGACAGGTTAATGGTTTGTCAGCAGGGGTGATAATGTTGTTGTGTCTCTTTTTTATGGTTGAAGCAGGAGTCAGTTGTGGGGAGAGATGACCCAATGGTTCCAGGGCGAAGGAGGTGAACGTCTGAGCAATGGTTCAAGGCATGAGACAGGCCAGTGGTAGGAAGGCGTGGAGGCATCTGAAAAGGCACAGGAGAGCTTGAGGTTCACAGAGGTCCAGGGTTCAGGAGGACATTAGGGATTAAACACTGAAAGCACAGATAATATATAAAGTCTGTTAATATTTAGATTAACTCAAGTGAAATCTAGATCAGAACTAACATTGTCAGGTAATGCTCCAGCACTGACTGGATATCCTTTGCAGCCTTTTATGCTCTGCTTGCTCATCTATCTTATGATCCTCAAGTGCTGCTGATTAGAGTCTAGCTGTGGCTGCAGGGAGCTGACAGAGCAGAACTCCCACACTCCTACATAAAACACTAACAACAGAAACATTTACATGTGTGGCTGTTATAGTTGTTTTCATGTTTCCACAAGTGAAAAGTTAATTTGAGGCTTAATGAGAGACACAGCTGTGTTGTTACCGTGGTCACCACGAGGAGCCCATGACAGCAGCTTTAATGTTTCCTTATCTTAGTTCTCTTCACGGTTATACAGTTTATACATGAAAACTGATCAGCAGTATTGCAATATCTTGCATGAATGTGCATGATCCATTATTGCATGAAATGCATCCAATGGTTCATGAGATATTTTGCTAACAGACAGACAGACACATGTTGACACAAACAAGTGCAGCTCAGATTAATCAGATGGGTGTAATAATGTACAAAGTAATAAAAGGATGTAATGTGAATGATCAGCATTCACATGATCCTTTTCTTGGCTTTTTTCTTTTTTTTTTGTATGTTTTGGCAATCTAATAACTTCTGCATTCTTGTTGCTATGTTAGAATTTTTTTTACATTAGATTAGATTAGATAACTTTTTTACTGATCCCTTAGGAAGATTTCTTCAGGGAAATTAAAAATCTAGTATTTATTTATTTATTATTATTTATCAGTTCATTCAGCACATGGCTGCTACAACTTTAGTTTTTTTATATTTTATGTTTTGTCTCTTTGTGTATGATGGACGTGCGACCTGTCCTTGCCTCTTGCACAGTGACTGCTGGAGATCTACACCAGCTCCCTGTGACCCTGCACAGAAAAGCGAGTGAAGAAAATGGATGGATGGATGGATGGCTGTATGGCTGCATGGATGTATGGAGGCCTTTTCATACTGTTAGCTACCTGTTTACTTAAAAAAAAAACTTTTAATTACTATTCTGCTCCTTTTGTTTTGTTGTTTAAATAAATCTTTTTATTTAAACTCCTACCTTTGCTTGCCTGCCTGCATGTGGGTCGAAAACACGAGGATTATGATTCTTTAGCTCGGGGCTATTCAACTGGTGGCCCACAGGCCACTTACGGCCCTCCGGTGACTTCAGTCAAGCTCACCTATGAGTTCATAAAACATGTGTGTGTGTGGGTTCTGTTTATTGCATTTATGATTCAATGCAACAAAATAAACAAATTTAAAAGGTAACAGATCATTGTAATACTTGGTTTCTTTACATAATGACAAATTGCTGGATGTCCGGCCCCTGAGCTGCTGGCTTTCAGAAACTGTGGCCCCCTGAGCAGTTCTATTTCGTATAGGCTTTGCCCTTTAAGAGCTGTTGCTTAGTGGGAAGGATCGTCGTGAGCAGAGACAACAACAACGACGTTCCACAGCCGCAGCAGCGTCTTCTCGCTCCGCTCCAACTCCAGCCCCGCCCGTCAGAGACCAGCCCTCCTCATCCCGGCAACCGGCAGTTCAGCGTTTTCCCAGAGATTGCCAACAGGCGGCGCCCTGGGCCAACAAACCGCAGAGATCACAGGGAAAAAGATTTTAAAAAATGACGGTCTGTGGAGGATGTGTGTAAAAATGACACGAGTTATGAAATAAAACATGAACATCATTCAATGATTAAAGTGTCTGTTTTTAGCCAGTTTGTCAGCTCGGATGACCTCACAGCGGCTCCGCACAAATCCTCCACACAAAACGAGCCAGTGTGCTTAAAAAAGGTTTTTCAGAATCACAGCTGCTCCAAAATAAAGACGAGACGCTCGCTTGACACAACAGTCGAAAGCGAATGTGGCCCCCAGAACGAGTTCAGTGGAATAACTCGTTTTCAGCCCGAGCTGCACACTTCTCACCGAAGCGGTGTCAAACGCACATTCCCACGACGCCAGCAGCCTTCACTCAAAAGGCGCTGCATTGATGAAGGCGTGCACACCGCTCCCCAGCACTTGCCGGCTCGCATCAGCATAAATGTGAGACCACAGAGCGAGTCCAGTGAGAAACCTCGCTCTCAGCAGGAGCAGCACGCGCCTCACCAAAGCAAACGTGTGCTTCCGCGGCACCTGTAGCCTTCACTCAAACGGCACGGCATTGATGAAGGCGCGCACACCGCTTCTCAGCGCTTGCCCGCTCGTGTCAGCATAAATGTGAGACCACAGAACGAGCCCAGTGAAGAACCTCACTCTCAGCAGGAGCTTGAGAGTTCACCGCAGTGGTGTCAAATGCACGCTCCCGCGGCACCAGCAGTTTTCACACGCCTCTCCTCAACACACGCCAATCCACATAGACATGAATGTGAACCTGCAGCCTGAGCGCGGCACAGAGGCGCGCTCAGAGGCGCGCTCAGAGGCGCGCTCAGAGCCCTTTTGAGGAAGCCTCGCCTTGGGTCACGCGGAACACACTTCCGCGGTGCATGACGGCGATCGAGGCGGTACTGGCTGACGTCCGTAAAAAACATGATGCACCACCTAAACGCGCGTCCACTCCACAAACGTTACGCGAGTGGCTGCGAACATGCTCGCCAGACAGATGGATGGCCAAGCTGATAAGCAGGGGTTACACGCTGCAATTTGCAGCCCGACCCCCTCCGTTCGGAGGAGTTTTAGAGACGGTCCTGTCATCACCAGACCAGGTCTCATCCCTAAATGCAGAAGTCCAGGAACTTCTGGCAAAATAGATAATCTCCAGGGTTCCCGATGGAGAGGAAAACACAGGTTTTTACTCATGTTACTTCCTGGTTCCAAAACGGACCGGAGGAACGAGGCCGATTTTGAACCTGTCAGTTTTCAACAAGGCGATCTTG